GCATAGGAATTGATTGGTCCATTTCCTTATGCATTTGCTTATGCTTATATATAGACCAATCAATTTCCTTATGCTTATGCGTTATGCTTTATGTAAAAGCTTGTGCTCTCGGCTTTATGCTTTATGCAAAAGTCTGTGCTCCGGCCATAAGACCGAAGCATAAACCAGCCATTAAGCCTACACCACATGGTGTTAGTTTTGCGCATTTTCGTGCTAGGGTGCATTTGCTTGGACGCCACGTCACGGTGACGTGCCAGTGCATTTAACAAATTCGCGATGTACTGAAAGTACCTATAGTATTTCTTCACTGACTGCGCATGTTCAAATAGTTCTTGTCGTTCTTGTCGATCTTCGCTGCAGGAGAAGTCGCCCGTGCTGCTTCTCCGTTAAATCGTGGTTAAATCGTGAGAAGTTATATCGAGCGTCGTGGCAATGCAGATATGTGCGCTGTGATAACATGAAAAAGTGACTGCTGCGTAACTAGAACTAGAAGTTTTTCTTCAAAAACGAAAAGCGCGCGCAACGCAAAGCTTCTGGACGATAATTATTAGAACAGGAAACGAAACTGACAAATAACTTAGAACTCGAGTTCCGATGGTAAAAATGCGCAAGAATGTTCTATACATTTGTGACATTGAATATACGTGATAATTGTCGTATGATGTCCTTTTTCGCGCGTCAGCGACATCGCGAATTTAATTCACTCGAGTTACATTTTGACTCTTGGCTTTGAGAAATGTGTGCATTAAAACATTTTTGATGCAGGTGAAAGATAATCTAAGAAAAAAAGAAGTTGTACACGAATTGCCATAACTAATCTATCGCATAGATATTACTCGGGGATATTCAAGTTTAGACGATGTGCTGTGCTTTTTTATCAATCTTGAGCCTTATACAGCTCATGGGTAGTGAGATTGCCAAAAAAAGGTATGCAGATATGACAATGTACCACGTTGTATTCATTTGCAATTAGTTGTCTTGTCGTGGATTTGCTCACTGCATTTTTGCACTAAATGTTGTCACTATGGCCTATATAACAGGCGACGTGTCCCTAAATTTGTACAAATAAAAAAAAGACGAGTAAAATACGCTTGTCGCATTAATAACACAGATTGTGTGATAAGTATTACATGTTAATGCTCGTTCTTGGGGCTGTTCTTATAAAAGGTAGCCTAAAATGTGTTTTCAAAAATTAAATGCAAACTTTTGTACAATTTTTAAGAAAATAATTGATGGAATAATTTGACACTTTATTTTTATTATTATTGTTATTTTATTTATTATAATTATTATTATTAATTAAAAAAATATTTTTTTATATAAAAAATTACAATAAATAGATAATTTTATAAAATCTCATAGAGCCTCCCATACAGTGGATTTATCTTAAATAAGAAACAAAATTAATGGTTTCGGATATATAAACTTCTCAATTATGCAAGAAACCAGTGAAAATGATGTAACAAAATTGTCAAAAAATCAAGTCTCTATTGATGAGGTTATAATGAATGATACTACTAATAAGTATCCAGAAAATAATAGGGCTTTAGCAAGGGAAGAGGGTTCTATGGTATCCAATCTTCCTCTCTTATTCGCTAATGGATATCCCACATCCTTGGAGAAAATCACAATGGTACACATAATAATCCTATTTTTCTAAAATTTAGATTATTTTCCAAAATATATTTTGTAATGAAATATTTAAAAGTTTAGTTGAAATTATATTGCATAATAATTATAAATTGTATTCATGAAACTTGATAAATACTATCTTGCAGGTACAATTAGAACGTTTTATACTGTTCATGGTTCATTGTTCACTGGGTCATGACACCACTAAAATTATTAACAAACCTGAGTGGTGGCCTCAAGATGTTAAATTTTCAAGTCCATTAACAAGACCCAAAAAAATCAATGATGCAAGTAGCTCTTTGTTATTGAATAATATTTTTTACATCTTTACTTTATAGACTATAGAATATTATATAATCTGTCAATTGTGTTTCCTCTGTTTCATCATAAATACTGATTTGAGAACATCATTTTAGAATTGGATGGCAAACTTAAAGAAACTGGTATTCCGATGTTATACATACCATAGAAGTGAATATCTGTTACGTTTTTGTTCCTATCTGGCACAATATCCTCATGAAGAATTAGAATACGTTAATAATTGGGACTCCACAACTAGTCTGTATCACAAAAGTACTGGAAAGCTACTAGTAACCTTCCGTAATGAAAATATGGTATGTATAAAATGCTTATGCGTATAGATACACATACGCCTATATGTATTACACACATAATGTTCCCATTAGTAGAAATTGATATATTTTGCCATCCACTATCCATGATCAATATCCAGTCAATTGAAGATAGATATTGAACAATTGAAACAGCAAACAGAGATGATAAGAGAGTTTTTCACGAGTTAAGTGTAGTAAAGACATTATGTGAGCGTATTGATTAAAATTTACTATAAATTTTCCTATATTGAATTACACGAGTTCTTAGTAAATTTCTTTCTTCTCTAAATTATGTTTATTTGTTTTTATTTTAATGATGCAGCGTCTGATGATCTATCGCATCAACATACATTATCATTTCTTTTACTAACAAGACTAATTAGCAAACGCAACTAAAAAAAAAAACAAGCTAATAGAAATTGCATAAATTAATAGAAAAACACAGAAAAATATAATTTTCAATTGCACCTTTTTACAATATTGAAGCTTACATAAGTGTTGTTATTTGTCGTTGATCCATTTCTTGACGATGCAGTTTCAATTGCGCATCTTCAATTGGTTCGGTATTGATTAACAAAAAAAATATACTATTTGTGCGTAGAAATCTACATATATACAGAGTATTCCATTTTTAATAATGGACCTCAATATCTCGAAAATGAGACACTTTTGAGTAAAAGAGTTTAAGAGATTTTTTCCGAAGTTTTCGTTATGTAACTCACTATAATTTTTATATATCGTTAAATTCGGAAACAATAAGCTTTTTGAAAACGTTACAAATATCAAAAAATCATTTAAAAAGGACAAACAAGCCGATTAGCTGATTATTCGTGTGTTAAAGTCTACATATTACAATTCTACAGTAAAGGCTATATCTTATAATATATAGTGCCATTAAAAAAATTGAAATTGACTTTGACCTAGGTCTTGATAAGAGATTTCAAAGTCAAATAGAGATCACAATCTTATATTCCCCTGGCATCGCATAACTTATCTGAAATTTTTTTCCAAGAATATTGGAGGGGGGGTTCAAAAATATTTTTTTAAACTCTAGGGAGTCGATTTATAAGCGGGGAGAGGAGAGATCATTTGTTTTTATCTATTTCAAAGCAGTTTGGAAAAAATCCGCCTGGAAAGGCGCTCCTGAACACTATATATATATAAAAACAAGTTTCACTTTTTTAATATATTTTACTATCCTTGATATGATGAATAAGACAGCTTTCTGTGCCTATAGTATTACGACAGGAAAAATGACAGTTTTCGAAGAACTTTGTTATCTCATAATGCTTCTTCATCGGGCTACGGCAACAAAACTAAACAACAAGCCCCTATGATGGTTCAACCGTGCGATGATATTTATCTGTGTGACAATTGCGACGCCGAATTTATAGGCCTCGCGGAAATGAAGGTACTAAGTGTAGAAATTTCTGCACTTAAATCTAATATACAATAACATACTTGATATACTATCCTGATTGCGCAATGATTTAGGAGCATGAAAAAATATGCTGCGAACTAGATCACGGCGGTAGTGGTTCGCGTTCATCTACACCAGATCTGACTGTAGTCGAGACTGAACTACAACAGAATCAATTTCTGGAATATTTTCAATTGTCCTCGAATAAGACTGAAGCTAAGTTGATTGAAACGAATAATGTGAGTGTTCCTGATAACAGTATTGTTAGACGAACGTCTCGGCGTATTAGAGGTTCTGTTAGTTTCACAAGATGTGCCACTATTCCGTTTTCATCGCCTGCCGGAATGATATTAGGAAAGAAGTCGAAAGCAATGACTGAGGACACACAGCAAGAACGATTAGATAGAATAGAGAGGCATGTTATTGCGCCAGTATTGACGATGGAATCGTCTAGACCAAAGTGGTTGAATATGGACGTAGATTACGATAGATGGCTAGTGACGTACAAACAAAACCGGGATAAACTGATCGACGAGTATGTGCATCAATACAAATTTGTCAACTCTAAAAACAAACCAAGTATGTATAATTACGACATCATTTGTCAAATGTATTACACGTGTAGTTAAAATCTTAAAAAAAAATTAAGAAGTTCTAGAATAGCATTTTTTATATAATAAATTTATTAGGTTTTAAATTAGATTATATTAATCTATGTTCTCTTTTTAGCGTTAAGCATAAAATCGCAATTGTTATACATCACATGTCGACCTATTTATGTTGTTCTTACTCGATTGAGCGAGAAGCAAATCGATGAACTGAAAAAGGATCCTTCAAAATATCAGTGTCCCCAGAAAAATATTAATGTGCGAAAGGTTTTGTTAACGAGGAAAGCGGGACCCGCTAGTAAAACGAGACTTAGAAAGGTAACTTATCGGCAAAGTGCATCTAGATCTTCGAAACGTAAAGCACCGTTGGGGGATGAGTTTGATCCGATAGTTCTTGAAGACGAAGTAACTAACGTTAATACATCAGAAGCTAAAGAGGCCTTAATCGCATATGCTGCTGTAAAATCATCTACAAATAGTACAGAGGCTACAAAACTAATCAGAGAGAGAAAATGTTCGCCAAGTACGATTATGTTGATTAACCTCTGCTCATCTGATGAAGAAGAAGACGATTCGAATATTCGAACGCCTTGCGACGAAAACAGAGATCCTATGAACATAGCAGAATCTCCGATCTCAAAGACCTTTGTGCGAAAATTAACGCCGAAACAAACTTTACGCGAAAGCCTGCATTTACCTCGCACAATAAATAGACTGGTTATTGAACAACGTACTGAACGAAGATAAAACCGAAAGCGAGTATTGTTAGAAAAAAAAAAAAAAAAAAAAAAAATGCATATATTTTTTTCCAATCCTGGCATTTTATATATTGAATCCATATTAAGTTATCAGATATAATACCTTATTCTGCTTGTATACATGTTATATTTTTGACATATTTATTCTATTGATTGGTTAATAATAGTAATAATTAAAATCATATTACGTTAACTATTATGATTTTGATATTATTGCGAAGAATAAAAATCAAGAGTCTCATTGAAATTGAAGAATTTAGAATGGATTGATTTAGTCGAATTAAATTTAAGAGGCGGCATATATATACATAGAGGTCTGTTATTTGTATGATAATCGAATAATAGAATTGATTATGTAATCATATCTTAATTTTAATATAAGTTTTGATTTAAGTATATAGATATATGTACATAAAGTACTGAATAGAATGTATGAACTATATTTTTTAACGCATGTACTTTTTAATACAACAAATATCACAAAATCTTACAAATTATTGAAGATTGAGAAAAGTAAGTTTGTTTTTTGCTTGTCAAAAAATAAGTTTGAAGAAAGATCTTTATTTCTCTCTGTAATGTTCGACAATCACATATAAGAGAAAGGCTTGCATTTGTTGTTTAAATTGTTGTTAAATTGTTTTAATCAAAACAAATCATTTAAATGGGAGATATAATTAATTTCATTTATACTTATATAATACATATATTTATGTAACTTTATTCTTGTTTTTGCTTCGTTCTAAATATTTTTCCTACGAAAAAGGAAAATAATTTACCTTTCCAGTCCTTTTCGATGCGCTTTAAAATTAATCTCTTTGTGGAAATGTTGTGAAGTGGTCCGAATGCTAATGCAACTGCTGTACAGGCCAGACATATAACATTGTAAGGCATACTGAAGTCGGGAGTCGGAAGACTGATAAGTAAGGACTCTGTTCGTAATTGCACTAAATAGTCATACCTCGAAGCGTTAAAACTGCAAGTTTATCAACATTATTGTTAACATATATAAGTTACTGTTTATCTTGTTTATGATAACAACAAAAGAAAAGATTCTCGTTTGTATTATGGTTTCCGAATATTATCGATTGAATAAGTGATTTCCAAGATAAAGGAAACAAACCTTGAAGTAATTGTACTCCCATCGAGTGGCAGAGCAGTATAATTTCTAGCTATAGGTAACAAGGCCGTAACTATGGCTGGTCCCATGTAAAAACCATGATTAGCATCTGGTGGGTATTCCTGCCATTTTAGGAACAAATAATCCATATCGATTGAGATTTTTGTTATTGAGTGCGGTGGTAGATGCAAGATCAATTCCAAGTAGTACGGACTCTTTCTCTCTTTTCCAGGTAGATAACGCTGCGTCACTGTAATAATATCATCAAATGTATTAACAATATTTATCCATGTTATAAAGTTTTCATAATAATAATAAAACTTTTTGTAAATTTTATTGGCCTAAATCGTATACATGTTAAATTGTGTATAGATTTAGTAGTAGATAGATTGTATATTCCAATTAAATTATATACCAAGTGATACATTTTAATCTTAGTAAAGAATTTTCGAAAAACATACTTAAAACAAAAATTGTAGAATGTGAAAGAATCTACTACTCCGATAACCTTATCTTAATATTTTTATAGAATGATAGGAAAAATTGATTAATAATATTAATTTTTATATTTGCAATTCTGTAAAATGCATTAATGTATTTGTAAAATGCAATAAAATTTTTTAAATAATTCTTTGTATTTTTGTATTAATTAATTCTCCTATTATTTTAGGTGTAAAAAAGTATTAATATAAGGTCATCAAAAAGTGAACATTTTAAAAGAAATTTCATATTCTGTAGTCTCCTTTAAACTCTACAATTTTTGTTGTCTACATTTTTTTCGTAATATACAGCATTTTTTAAAAAATCGCCTTTGAAGATTTATATAAATCACAATATGTTACATATTTATTACATATCTACTATTTTTTGTTATATGTAATATTTACTTACATGGATGAATTTGTTGTCCATTCTGGATTATTGTGATGGAATGTAAGTAAACTAACAAGTACCATGGAATATTTTCTAGTAAGATTACATCTAACGCTTGCCAGTGGTTGTTATGTAATTTAGTTACTAAACTACCCCTTTCTTGACCGTACCCTGAAAAATTATGTATTAATATATAATATGAATTTATTAACGAGCTATTTGTAAAAAAGCATCTCTGAACAAATTCAAACTTTCTAAAGTTATAGTTTTTTAAACTAAATATGATATAAATGTAAAGTATATATAACCAAAAATACAGATTGTTATAAATTAAAAAAAGAAATATATACCAATGACATATCTATTTGCGTAGAGAATTGAAGATAAGTTTATAATGCTGGTCTTTGGTTTACTATGTATTGCAGCAATATTAAATATTCCTTTATTGGAATGAGCTCTGATGTCATATACTGCTATTACATTCTGTTGTCCTCCACGTAAATTAACAATTTTTGCACTCGGTGGCGGTGTTAATTCATACACGTGATTCGTGTTATTGTCTGATATATCAATATATATGTTACTTAATGTTGAAAGTGGGCATGCGCCTTTAAGTCCTATTCCAAAAAATTTTCGTATGGACCAATCCTGTACAATGAGAATGTAAATAATCAGTAACATAGTATATAATTTATGATAATGCTCTTATATTCATCTGATTCATCTTATATTTACCTGATTTATATCTATCATTGTATCGTATATCAAAGAAACAGTCTGTCGCAGTTCCAAAGATGTCCTTGTGCAAGTAATATCTCGACATATTGATCGAAAATGTAATCCAATGGAATGATAATTTGTATCATGAATATATGCAGAATTTAACAATGTTGCCAAACCTCTCTGAAAATCAATTAACTGCTATTATAAACCAATATACAAATACAATATTATACCCTATAGTTTATAATTACCTTAGAGTCACAGGGTAACAGTTTTTTGAATGGTGTTAGATTTTCAGTACAAACTATCTCTCTTGGTAATGATGAATAACGTAAATAATTTGAATTTACTGGTCCATTTGTGACACCAGTGAGACGGAAAGTAAATTTTGGTGACATACTATTGGATGGATCAACAAAGTTTAATGATACACAAAGCAAACCAGCTAAGGCATTTGTTAGTGCTTTCCATCCCTCATCTATGCTATAAAAAAACATTCTGTATTGCTATACTTTTATAACTTTATAAACTAGATATTTTTTAAATTATGTTATTTTATATCAAAGAATAAAATCCCAAAATACCAAATCCCAATGTACCAAAGAATGTAATTTATATTATAAATATTGAGAACAATTTTATTTAAATAGTTTTTGATTTCATATACTTAATTATTTTATGCTATAGTTTCTATATGTAATATACATATAATTATTGATTAAAGTAATGAAATTTTAAAACTATCTTTTACTTTGTTACGTTTTTGTTAAACCAAGTAGTAATTTCAGCACCGGGTCCAGCATCGTGAAACGGGTATCCCCACTTTTGATAATTCCATAATCCTTCTGTTAAGGTAACGTGTAACTCATCGACATTATGACGACCTATGATCTCACTTAAACCTCTCGGAAAGAGATGCAAATGTTGAACTAAAATTATTTACATTTGTTACGTTTATACAAATAGTTGAAACTCACTGTTCAAATGCTAGCTACTCACGCATTTCTACATCTTTTGTCGTCTCCCATATTGTGGTGAATTGAAAATAGGCATAAACATGATTACTTGATAGAGGTTTCAACATTAACTCCTCGTCAAAAAAATCATTATATGTATTGTTACATGTCCCGATACCGATCAAACCGGTAAGCAAAATGAGTACATATGAGGTTATCATATTCCTTCGAGGTTAAGTTACCGATTAATTTGTTTCTTGAACTAATTACCATAATTTGTTCCGAAACAAGCATTCATTATTTACACTTACTGATATATATGAATGTATAATCAGAAAAAATTATCAATTCTGAAACATGTATCGAGTGTGCATACTAATCACTGAACTACATATGTAAGACACATACCGATAATTCGAATACAAAACGACCAGAAGACCTCATGTGGAGAAATTGCGAAACTCCGAATTCACGAGTCGATAAAGCAGTCCAACATTTCGGTAAAAATTCTCCGATTTATGTGTATATGCCCGTATATGCACAAATACTAATGTACTGTTCGCACAAATATTTAATAATTTATATCATAAATTTTGCAAATTATTATACATAATAGAAATTTTTTTATCTTACTCTTTATCAGTAAATCCATCTGAAATATTTGTTGTATAATAATGTATGTGTAATAATTTGCATCAAACAATTTATGATGCAAATTATTATTATATATGTTATGGACAAAGTGATGAAGGGGCATTATGCATAATTACGGGGGTGACACTGCCTATGCTTCGCTATGTTTTTGCGTGTCCCCTTGAATGTCCTGTTCAACCAGAAAATCCGCAAGAGGCGCTAGTTCCGACCCGTATCCGTCAATTGCGTTCACGTGACTGCTTACTGCCTGTCAGCGATTGTTGTGTTCTGTAGGTTATGTTTTGTTGGTTTCGTGGGTTTCGTGCGTTTTATGTTTGGTACATTTTATAGCGAAAACAATTGTGAAAATTCCGTCAAGTATATCAAATACGTCGACGTCGAGTATTATTACAATGTTTGCTGTTCATAAATCTGTTTTTAAATAGAATTTTTTACAACAGTGCGAGTGTTGCGTTGTACGAAAGAGACATTAAACAATTTCATAATTGTGTCGGTCCTTGAATGAAATGCCTACCTGCGTAGTGGCAGGCTGTACCTCGGGCTACAGAAGTAACCCCGAGAAAAAACGGTTTTTCTCTGTTCCAAAGAACGAAAGTGTGCGCCAGCAATGGCTGGCTGCTGTACGTCGAAAGGACATGCAACTGACACAGAAACATTACGTGTGCGAAAACCACTTTTACCCGAGCAGTATTATATGGCAAAAAATACTGAAAGATGCGGATGGAAATGTAATCGGTGTGGTAAGTAAACTGTCATAAAATGATACATTTATATAGTACCAGCAAATATATAACACGTGTTTTATTATTTTTCAGGGTGCTAGAACCCAAGTTCCGCGACTGGAACGTGGCACTGTTCCGTCTGTTTTCCCATGGTCAGAATTTGTCGACACGGATCAGTTGAGAAGCGCAGCGTCGGTCCAGGTCTCCGTTTCAGCAGCAACTGCGGAGGTAGCACTGGGTACTTCGGAGAGCAAAACCCCTATCGAGGTGTCATTCTCGAAGGAAGCTTCTGAAGCTACAGCGGAGGCAGTCAAATCACTTGAAGTAATGGATACTTCTGAGAGCAAACCTGTTATCGAGGAATCGACAAGAATGCTGTGGACGGACTCGACGGTATCAACCGAATCAACAGCAGTGACAGCTCTGATGGAAAAATGTAGTGCAGTGAGTATTTATTGTTCATTTTAATTTTGGACAGAATAATTATAAAATTATATTCTATTTCGTTGAAATTCGAAATAGTTTGAAATCTTTTCACTCTTTTCAATCTTTTAAAATTCATTAAATTTGTGCATTCATCTTAGATTATTCTTTTTTCTTTTCAAAATTGTTTTAAATTGAAAATTTCTTAAAATCTTTGAAATTTTGAAATCATTTTCGGCGTTTATATTGAAAAGAATTGCTTTTCATGTTAGTGACCCACTTTCTCGATGTTTTCAATCTATTTCTATCAATTGTTATTCTTTTTCATTGAAAGTTGAAATCATTTTATGAATGCTTATTTTTCATTGCCGATACAATTATTAATACATTTTTGGTTTATTTATTCTATGAATATATGTTGTCAACTCGATTATTTTCAAATATTTTATAAAATATTTTAAACAGTCAACAATATGTATATCTTGCACAATATTTTATGAAATAGAAATATTTGCAAATAATCGAGTTGTCAATGCATTTTCATATTCGAGAAAGTATAACAAGTTATCGGTGCAAGTTTCGTTTAAAAAGACCAAAAATGCCATTTTGTTCGATAAAAAATACTATTTAAAGATAAAAGTACTTTTATAAATGATAAACAACTCATTGTAATACTTAGTTAGAAATATACTATAAAATAAAACTGACTGTAAAACAAAAATCATTCAATATAGAAGCAAAGTCTTGGGTGCTTTTTTTGCGATAAAGTAACTAACTTTTTAAAATTGTTAACTGAACAATAAAAAACTATATAATTAGTGACGATAAATACTATTAATTAATTATGGTTTTATTTATAAATTTATTTCCTTTATAAGTAGTCGCCCGTTGTCAGGAAAACCTGCAAATGTCACGGATTTTTTAAACCACCTTACAAAGCCAGGAAATGTCATGGAAAAAGTCAACTGTATCATGAATCCTTTGTGATTCGCGTATTTTTTATAGTTGTCACTGAAATAAAATAACCTTTTATTTTCCCATTCTTCTGCTGTTGTTTGACTTTAAAAATGAGTTCGTAAAAGTATTGCTTATTTACTTGCGTATTGAAAGTATGTTTGGAAATGTCATGTTATGTTAGAACTGTCACTTATAAGTTTCTTTCCTCTGTTTCTGTACGTACCGAGTGTGCCGGATACGCCTAAGGCCCGTTTGATATTGCAGGACGTTTCGCGTAAGTACTGTTCGTATGCCGAAGAATTGGCAGGTGGCAGACAAAACTTTCAATGGAGTCCGCTTCATTGGATTTTATACGATCAATTATTGTAAAGATTTCCGAGATACTATCTTTCTCAAGATTGATAAACAAGTAATCCTATCCGAGGATAGCGAGGGCATACGTGCGAAGATTAATGTTATGGGCCATTCCGTCGGTGCTGCAATTGGATTACTCGAGGAACCGATCACTGAGATTGAGCATCTCGAAACCTTGCTGAATGAAGTGGACGGTATGAAGGTCTGTACCGGTTCTGTTGTACGAACTTGCAGGCATGAACTGCAGCGAGTAGATTACCATTACGCTTACGAAGACAGATCGGGCAAGTGGCGGCATAATAACTGTCCGTTGTTGTTGTGCGGCAGCAAAAAAGCATGCGAGCATTGCATTCGTTTGAAAAGAGCAATGGCTAAACGTGCATTGCGAGCGAAACAATGTGAGAAGAAGAGCCAAAGTATACGCCTAACGCATTCACCGAGAGAACAGAAGCTGTTACAGCGTGTGCAAAAACTAAATGCAGCGGCCAAAAAGAGATCTCGAGCTTTACGCTCTCTTATAAAGTGGAAAGCCCAATTTGCGGGAAATGAAGCCAAATTACAGAAAATTTGTAAAATGAAAACGGAACAACTGCCGACGGACCAAAATATTACGGAGAATCAGCGTACTACGATACAGGAATTTTTGCAGGCAAATTAGTGCAAAAGCTCCAAAGGGAGACGATACTCCCAAGCATGGATCCTGCTATGCATGTTACTGCATATGCGTTCTCCCCAAGGATATAGATTCCTACGCGATCAAAGCGTGTTGCCTCTACCCGCCGTACGGACAGTTCAAAGGTAAAGATTTCTCAGAAACTCCTTACATCAATGTGCAATAGTATTAAATCCGATGAATACTACAGATTCAATTTTTTACAGGTATCTCTCTATCATCGATACAAAGTGTAGATTCGATGAGAACTTTTTGAAATTATTTGCCGAAATCATGGTCGACAAACCAGACCTGCAGAGGCACGGAGCACTTCGCATCGACGAAATGTCCACTCGCAAAAGCGTCAGCGTTAAGGCTCTTGGTAGCCGTGAACTCCGCGTTGACAGTGGCGACATAATTGTGGAATAAAAACCCAGTCGATTTATTGTATAAGTAAATAGTGTAACAGTTTGACCTAATCATATGATTCGATAAAAGTAAATTACTGAATAACATACAAAATGCTAATTTATAATTTAAAAATTTGTTTACAAAAAAATTAACGCGATAAACACAGAATATATATAGCTTAGTACCGTTACCGATATGTCCATATGACAGAAATTTTTATGCAGCGTCTTAGGTGAAGAAATCGATGAACTATTAGGCGTGAAAAAATGACATGTTGACTACCCAATTTATTCTTGCGTGCCATTTCGTTAATATTCGTTAAATGTTAGTGCTGTGATATGTGACGTGTTCATGAAACCTGTAAAATTATCCGAAAACTAAGATTAGCAGGGAAAGCCCAACGTAGAAGGAGTATTTTCTACTCATACAGACAGCTGTCAACCGTGTGTTTCCTCGCAAAATTAGGCTTCATTTCACGGTTGATTTAACGATTGTTTATAACCTGTCAAGGAAAAAGCATAGTTTTCGGACAATTTTACATCTTAAAGCGATCCAGAATGTTGCTTTGTTAAATTATCAGTTTATTTAGAAATGGCACGCAAGAATTCTCGGCGTGTCATTTCTCGCTTCTGACATCACGAATCTAATATGGCTACGGTGACTACCCAGGAGCCTTAAGAGTACCAATCTAACATACAAAGGTCTTGTGGATTTTGGTGAAGATGATCACGTCACAAATACCGGTGACGAGTATTCTACTTTTAGATTTTAAGAACTTGTAATTGCTTTATCAAACATTGTCGATAAGTACATAGTATTGACTTTTCAAGACTTTATAAATAGCTTGAATTTATAACCAATCAGGAATCATTCAATCATTACATATTCAGCCTACAGAGTACGCCATCTTCTGACCAAATACGCATGACATAAAAGTCACCATTAAAAACTTTACAGTTCGGCCAGCCTGAAAATATCATTCGTCTCGAATGATTAACAATTTTTTAAAAATAAAATTTTAATAAACATTTTTATTATGAATTAAATTATCAAATAATATTAATTAACTTTTTTTTTTTTTTTTTTTTAAACTAAATAAACCTTTCTTTAAACAATCAATTACTCAAAAAAAATCTCTAATAAATACCTTCACTGAGAAATATTGAAAAATTCCTTTACACAATCATTTGTCGCTAATAGTTTCATTATTTACAACAAGTTTCACCCAAGGTTTGATTCTGTCAGGGGACAAAATAGAATTATATGGCCTAGGAGAAATATTAAAACCTGGTATATCAGTAATGACATATCTATTATTATTTAAAACTTTAGCCACTTGATAAGGACCTTTATACTTAGGCTTAAATTTTTTATTTTCACCTGGTTTAACAAAAGTATCTCTTATAAGCACATATTCCCCTTCTTTATATTGAGATGGTTTTGTATGATGTTTATCATAGTATATTTTATTATAATTTTTAATTTTTTCAATGGCTTCTAAAGCAACTTGACGATTTGTCTCTCTTTCTGACAAAATCCAATTCTGTCTTTGAAATTTCTTTCAAAAAATCAACTAAATCTGCATCAGCATGATTCTTCTGATCATAACCCAGAAGAAGCTTTGACGGAGACGTCTTTAATGAAGAATGAAAAGTGTTATTGATTACATATTGGACTGAGCCAAGACATGCATGCCAATCTTGCAAATCATCAATTAACTTTTGTAAAGAAGATTTCAAAAAACGGTTAACTCTTTCTACTAAACCATTTGCCCAAGGGGCAGCGACAGCAATCAAGCGATGTTTGATTTTTCTTTCTTTAATGAAAGATTCAAACTCAAGTGAAGTGAAAGCAGTTCCACGATCTGAAATAATTAATTTTGGATTTCCAAAAATCTGAAATAAATTGACCAAATGTTTAATAAGTTCTTTTGAACTTGTAGACATAACGGGAAATAACCATGTAAATCTGGTAAAAGCATCGACTACCAAAAATATATGTTTAAAACCCTGCTCAGATTTATTTAAAGGACCAAAATGATCCATATGAATTATTTCAAATGGAGTGGAGGAACTTTCTGTGATTTGCATCTCACCTTCACGAGAGTTTGGCGCCGTATTTGCCAAAAGACAAACAATACAATTATCAATATGATTTCGAACGCGTTTACGCAACGAAGGAAACCAGTAATTCTCAGTAATACCTTGGAAAGTTTTTTCCATGCCACAATGAGACATATCATCATGATACACACGTATTACATTTTGAATCATTGATTCTGGTACATAAAATCGAGATTTGTCTGGCCCCTTTCTGAAAACTAAACCGTTTATCAATCCAAATTTTTCATGATCTGTATGTTCAAGATCCTCAGCAATTGATTTAATATGCGAATCACTTTAATTGTCGATATTCAAGTTCACGTTCCATAGGTAGAGATGAAATTAAAGAAACTACTCTACTTAGAGCGTCCACATGAGCCATTTTAACTCCAGGTCGATGAGAAACCGTAAAGTGGTACGCTTGTAATCTCGAAGTCCATCGAGAAATACGTGGATTTAAATGCGCTTTATTTAAAGCATACACAATCGCATGACAATCCGTAATAACCGTAAATTGAATTCCATATAAATATATGTGAAATCTCTCGATAGCTTTTACCACTGCTAACATTTCAAGCTCGAAACTGTGGTAACGAGATTCAGCATTATTAGTCGTCTGACTGAAAAAAGCCACTCGGAGCCCACAAACCCCTTTCTTGCTTTTGCATGAGAATTGCCGCTAAAGCAATCGAACTTGCATCCGTATGTAGTTGCGTTTCAGCCAACGGGTTATAAAGACGCAAAACCGGATAAGAAGTCAATGCGCATTTAAGAGATTTGAAAGCTTGACGACATGCAGCATCAAAATGGAATTTAACCGTTTTACGCGTTAAACTATGTAAGGGTCTGGCTATGAGAGCATAATTCTCTATAAATTTTCGAAAATAATTTGTAAGACCAAGAAATCGTTGAAGTTCAACTAATTTTGTTGGTTCTGGAAAATTATGAATCGCTTCCGTATGACGCGAACTTAAAGTTATGCCAGAAGCAGACACAATATAACCAAGATACTCAATTGTATTTTTGAGAAATAAACATTTTTTATAATTAAGCTCAAACGAATATTTCTTAAAAAGTAAAAGAACCTTATGCAAAATTAACAAATTCTCATTAACCGATGAAGTCGGAATCAATATATCATCAATATATACAATTACTTTATCGTCACGTATAAGAGGCTGTAAAATATGAACAATTCTTCGCTGAAATTCCGCGGGAGATTCACAGTAACCAAACGGCATTCGATTATATTCATATTGCCCGTCCGGAGTGGCAAAAGAAAAGAATTTTGTGTGCTCCGGATGGATTTTTATTTGATGAAAACCATCCTTGAGATCTAACAATGTGAAAACCGATTTATCAGAAAGCCTGGCCAGACAATCTTCAATAAGCGGAAAAGGAAATTTTTGCTTAACAACTCGATCATTCAAAGGACGTAAATCTACACATAAACGCAAAGTTCCATTCTTCTTGCGAACAGGAACGACACGCGCACAGTATGGAGACGTACTTATTTTAATAATATTACGTTTTAAAAGATCGTCAATAATTTGACGAATCTGTAAACGCTCCGACCAAGCAAAACGTCGCGGCGCGTAAGCATATGTCGATTCATCTTTTAAGTTAACTTTAACAAAATAGTCATCGCTCGCAAGAGAAACAGTTGTATTCTTAATTTCTTTAATTAGACTAATGACTTTCTGGTCTACTTCTGTACCAAAGTCAGTTTTAAGTTCCGAGAACAATGTGTCTTCAGTTAACGATGCATCTTCCAATACATCCGCCGAAGCAACCTCATTAAATATTTTTAATCTATCATCTGCAAAATTATTAGATGGATGATAATAGACTGATATTTCATTCTTTTCAATAAAATCTCGACCAATTATTAAATCCGCAAAATGTGTATCTTTTTCAAAAACAAGTAAATATATTTTTCCATTAAAACTTGGAAGAGACTCTAAATTAATCAAAGTCGAAATAGACCCGAGAATAGGAATTGGATTTCCAGAAACCGACTGATAAGAAATTAACGGTTTATTCATTACAATATTCGATTCACCAAAAAACTTTTTAAATATGGAAAATGAGATAAAAGAAACGGGACTACCGGTGTCAAGTAAAGCAGACAAAGTACAAGAAATATTATTCAAAGCAACGACCTTAAGAATTGAATCCTTCGTATCCAACCTTCGAGGAAGAGCTTCTCTTACAGCAGCAACAGACTCCGATGTACCTTCTGAAGAGTCCACTGCAGCGACAGGATTGGAGAGAGGGGAATTCGTTGTCTTCTGCTGCTCCTTTCTTTTAAGCTTAAAGCAATTGTCCTTTACATGACCACGAGTACGGCAATACACGCAGAAAATGTCTTTTAAATTCTCATCTTTATGAGCTTTTGAATCCGATTTAACAGATGAAGCACTACTGTCTTTAATCTTTTCTGACTTACGCGAAACCAGAGGAGATTTTCTTTGCAAATCACTGTAAGTCACTGTAATTTTATGCATTTTTTGCAAAAAAATATCCACAGTATCAGCTTCTAAGGAAGAAGCAACTCCGCGCAAAGAACGGCTTGTAATTCCAGTGATTAAATATTGAATTGCGTCACTGTCCGACAAATTCAAACTTTGCATTAATACCAATTTATCAGTGGCGTAATCTTGAAATGATTCCTTTGAAAATATCCATTTTCGGGCTTCTACTTTTTGCATTATTACTTGCAGCAAAACCTTTCTTTCAAATCTTCGAAGAAGGGCACGTTTAAATTCTGACCAAGATTCTAACACTGAATCTGGACACAAATCAAACCATCGGCGCGCTGATTTCACGAGCTTGCTCGTCGCAGCCAAATACGTAATTTCAGATGAAACTCCATGTATTCTCGAAGCACGTTCAACTCTTCGCACCCAAATGTTTACGTCCTCATCTTCTGAACCACCAAAATTTGGAATTTGCGAAGAAAGTAATTGCACTGCTTGAGCTGGCAAAGCTGACGAAAGAGCAGAGCGACGCGACGAATCAGGAGCGTCAATTCGAATCTCTTGCAACGGCGACGCCGCACGCGACACCGAATGATGCACTTGATTTGAAATGTCTGGAAATTGATTAGCACCACTGTTTTTAAGAGTCAATGAAGCAATTAATTGATGCATTTCTTGCTGTTGACGATCCAATTGTTGTTTCATAAAATCCTGTTGAACTCGCAATTGTTCTTGGAATAATAAACACAATTGTGAAAGAGACGAATCTGATGATGCTCCTTGGCAACCTTCTGTTATTTTGGCATTTGTTTTCTCGCAATGAGTTGTTACCACCTCGTTGCTAGCCGAATCCAAAGGTGTAACACCTGACAAAGGAAGATCGGGACCTTGAAATCCTTGCAATCCAAAATTTTCAGAAAAATCCAGCAAAATTTCGATGCATTTTTTCTTTGTATTTGCAGGATGTAGTCCATGTTTAACGATCTCGCTCCGAAGTCCTTCGAGCGTCATCGATTCTAAATGTTTACGATCCATAGCGATTTTCTATATGATGCACTACGCTGAAAGTTCCTGATCAAAACACAGCGTGACCGCTAATCGCAAAAGTTTGTGTTTCACTGTAACACGAAACGAGCAGAAAAAGCGTAACCGTTGAAAGTCTAAAAACGCACTGCTCCGAAAAAAGTTCACCGACACACGAAAAATAGAGCGCATTGACGCATAACGTGTTGTCGCGGACCGCTTATTTAAATATGTGTGAAGTGTAATTACTGTAAGATATCTAGTTTAATTGAATTAGATATCGATTAGTCAGGAATTCATAAGAGGGGAAATTGGAATATATCGATAGCACTCACGTATGAAAACGAACTTTTATAAACTTTATTATTAGTAAAGTTATTTAATACACCATAAATAATATCTCGCACTATGATACGA